TTCATGACCATCGCCACTAATGCGGCAGGCTAAATATCATCACGATGTCAGAAGGATCTCAGGCAGCCCGCTCTTCTCACTGGGCCGAGGTTGCCTTGCACTGCGGACGACGCTTGCAAGAAACAGCTTCCGAGCGAAGACATGATGCAGCCGCTGATCCTGCACTGCGTTTGTGGTGGCGAGAGGGCCTAGTTCAAGAACCCTTAACTATGCTCTTTAGCGACCCCGGCCTGCATATACACTCAACATGGATTCCCAATATGGCTGTACCTTGATGCCTCAAACTCCAGAATCGGCTGATCACCTTCATGTCTCATATAGGGAGCCTTATGGGATTCCTGGGAGACCCGGCCGTCTAGCGCTCATCCTGAATTACTAGGCCTATAGACCCCTAGAGAAGAGAAGCCTTTGTTCACAACAACTCATCAAAGGATCTTTCGAATTTGGAATTAGTCGAGCAGACTTGGATATGTCTCACCTCGAACGATTACGCACCAATAACCTCGACGGGCTTGTCCAAGTGTGCGAGGGCCGTGCTGTTTCGAACATTTTTCGAGCTTTCTGCACGCAGTCATTCTCAAATTCATAGTGCTGGGCATGCGTTTCTTTGGAGACTTTAGAGTGTTTCTTTCTGGAAGTTCTGAGGCAGGGCTACAAGGCGCAGTGGGGCGCCAGTGGTCGAAACGACCTGGGCATCATCAAGGAGCTTGGCCCGGGCCTTGGGGCAACCGCGAGTGGGTTTCAGAATGAGTGTGCAAAGTGTAGTGGGTCGCACCGCAGAGCATTCGAGATTTGGCGCTTCGGTCTGAGCTAAACCAGCACTAGTCTTCCGCATGGCAAGCCACTGAAGCCTCGGGGGCTAGTGCTCGATCCTTTTTTTTTCTACCCTCTCTTTATTCCTTCTTCCTATTGATCTCTCTGTCCCACTCCCTCCCTTCGAATCGATGGACTCAAGGCCCTGTCCTGAGTGGCGACGCGCAGCCAACCTTGGGCAACAATGACTCCTTGCCCGTTTTTGCTCAAAGCACAGCCCGAAGAACATGAAATCCCTTATCAAGCACGGCCAAGCCCCAAACTCCAGCAAGGAAGCCCAGAGTTTCGTAGCCCTAAGTTGCCATACTATGAATTAGCTGATCTTCGCCTCTCCTCTAGAAGCGGATGTCATAACAGTGGTTGAGTGATTAGCAATAGTATGCGGTAGCATGTTGAGGGTTCCCCATGTTGGTTGTAGTATAATGTATCCCAAGTGTCCTTATTCCAATTGTTAAGGCCCCCACATCAGTTTAAAGCCCCAATCCGAAGTATTGAGCCCCCTATAGGCCCTATAGTCCTATAGTAGCCTGTTCCTTGTTGCCTGCGGGGCAGCGGAACCTCCCTTGAGGTGCCAACGCCGTCCGCCTGTACCATTCCATGGGATTCGGCCCCGCCACCGACCACAGCTCGGATCCCAGCTTCCTACTATAGGAGCCTGTATAATTACAACTTAATACCTTTTTTTTTTTTGGGGGGGGNNGAGGCCTTAGTGTAATTCTAGTATCGTCGTATACCCCAAAAACCCTATTCTAATTAGTCAGGCTTCTACATTAAGAGAAGGTCTGCAAGATGCGGATCAGCCGAAGCTGACTCAGGAATGGCAGAGTCATCCAAGTATGTAGTGTGCGTATGAATATATAACACAGTTGTTTACTAAAGAGTATGTACTGTCAACAGTATCAGAAGTGTGGTACAGCAAAGAGGATAATGCTAATGTATGCTACATTGTATACTACCCTATATAGCATCCTGAAACCTGTCATTACTGAGATTCGGTGGGTTTCTTTCGCTGGCAGATGTGTGCATCAACGTTGAGTGACAGCTAGACTGCTCAAAAAGTTTGACTGGCTACAACAGACAAGCGACTGGACAAACCCCACATGTTGCGCCCGGTGGAGCCTGCTGCATGTTGGCACATAGAGTTTCAGACAACACGAGGCCTTCATAGTCCTGATATAACCGAGAAGTAAGATCAACCGGCAGGCGGCTTCCTCGACGAGGCCTTGAAGCAGGGTGCTCTCCTCAGTGCCTGGTGTCCCCAGGGGTTGCTTGCCTCGAGGGGCTGTTTGAAATGGCCGTGGCCTTTTTAGGCCAGCGTGGGATATAGCCGAGATTGCAGTCAAGCCCCCGGTCTCTGGGGTCCCCCTAGCTGGCGGGATTGACTTCGGATGCAGTCGCCCGGAAACTTGTTGACATCTTTTGGCACATCTGCTCCCTGCTCAGGTCTCAATGTCCTGCCTGGCATTGCAGCTTGGATAATATGCAACAAGGCATACCAGTTGAATTTGTTTTGTTCCATGAGTTGGGCGTTCACATGTCACCCTCCAAACCTGCGTCGCTGCAGTTGTAACATGCCATTTCTTGATCCAACAGGCGCCACACTATAACTTGTCCGAGTGTGAGCGCCGAACCTAACTTAGACTCTCGCAAGGTACCAGCCTCAGGTTCAATTGTTTACTCATTCCTCGTCACTTCAGTAGGCACAGACAACACCCGATGCCTTGACCTGCCCTCCTCAACAATCTGTGCGGGCATTGTTTCGGATGTTTTCTGCTAGGTTCATAGATATAGAATTCTTTCATGCTAACACCGATTTGGGCGGGATGACTCATGTAGCAGCGCGCAACAAATAGAAGAACTGCAACCTGCAGTGCAGCAACTGATGGAACGGCAAGTGAACAGGACGGTGAAAAAGCTGTACGAGCATAACACCATCAACAAACAGTGTGGTAAGAACGAAACGGTGCCACAATAGGCTGCTGTAATGCTAAACTACGATGCCCATAGTCTGGCGTGCTAGCAGATCACATTTACGAGCCAGGGGTCAGCATTAAGCAGCAGATTCACTAGATACTGGTAGCACCCAAGTAGACGGATATAAGATTATTGTCCAGGTAAGACCGAACAATGTCACAATAAACTTGTATACCAACACAGGAAGTTGCAGTTGAGCAGCGATGCAGCACTACAAGACAACCGCTTCTTCTTTCTCACAATAAAGTTAAAGTTACGTGGCTACGAGACAGTTACCCACTCTCTGAAAATTTATGTAGACCATGTTAACGGCGAGCATGCAAATCGAGATATAGCTAGCTGAAAGTTTTGTCATCGGCTTTGGCCTGCGAGCCTACGCAACCAACTGGGACCCTGTCAAAGATCAGGATTCCGACCTCGGCATATACAACTGCACGGAGTTCGACTGCTACGAGACCGTCAAGAAGGCCGCTTGGCCAGCGAACGAGTACAGGGCCGGGCTGTGTTGGGTGTTTGAAATGCAAACAGGCTCTGCACATTGAAAGCGCCTCGGCTCAGGTCGTCAAAACCGGCTTCTCCTTGGGCTTTGCCAAGGGCTCCCTGCCTGCAAGCCCAAGCATTTCTGTGTGCATATAGGTGACACTTCACACATCCCAGGATCATGCTGTTATAGCAAACTCGCAGAAGACGAGTTCTAGCTTTCAGGCTTTTCCCGCTCTGAACATGCTTGAACCCGGGCTGGCCCTTGGAAGATGCAGATGTGCTGTAAGTTCATGACAGCCCTACAGGGCTGCACCCGAGCGAATCGACGAAGCAAGCACATGAGATTGTATGACCATATAATGCATATAGTTTTTGAACCATATGTAATATATGTGTAATATACAATTACATACATATATATATATAGAACATATAACCCACAATCGATAATACAAAACACAAGGTTGAACGTTGCAATGGAGGGTTCATTCGCAACACCGCCACGTCAGTCCTGCTTTGGAGCACGGTCACCCCCTCTTGGCCCACTCAGGCAAGAACTGGCACCCGGCTGTCCATACAGTGATCATCATGAATGCCGCTGAACCTGCGTACCAGGGACATGCAGGGACAGGGATGTCAAGAGATTGCACCTCACGGATTGTTCTTTCTTTCTGTCTCTCTCGCTCTTTTTTTCTCTCTCTCTCTCTCTCTCTCTTTGTCTCGCTCATGCGCGTATGCAAGCACCTTTGAACTCTGGTGTTTACACTTATGCCTCTACATAACTAGAGTGACTCTAGTTTAGAACAGCCCCCGGCGCACTTTTCGGAATTCGTACTGTAGTGCTCCGGGTGTCTGTCTGGACAGGAGAGGATCCCAACAGCACAGGTTCTGAGCAAGAGCCCCCTTCAGACAGGCTTCACACATGATGACAACTGTATGGCACACAGGTCATGTACGTAATTTGAAAGACGGGTACAAAGGTTGGGACCTAAAAAGGACGGTTTCTTCTAGCTGCTGAGGAGCCAGACTTCTTCGGGAACGACCCAAAATGTCCAGGAAAAGCCCCGTGGTGTGCCTTGACATGGAGGAACCAGGGTCCTTGGTAGCTTTGTCCCCACGACTTCTTACAAGCACCCAAACCCGCGGGAACTTTCTGTTATTGTGATCGTGCACAGTGGATTCTAGCATCTGTAGGCGTGAGGCGTGACGACATTGTGAGGATCCTTGCCTGCTGCGTGCGAGAGTGAGAGTCGAAACCCCTGGCCCGAGGTTGCTGGATACCCTGCCTTAAATCGTACAGAGTGCGCTATTCGGGCAGCTAAAGACTTTACGTGGAGACCCGCTTCGTGAAGCTCTGTTCATCACCAAAACCAGGGCTTTAAACCCAACCTGCACTGCCACACTTGCAGTGCTTGAACCTTCTGTGTGCTATCTGCCGTGTATATAAAAAGTATCTCCGTGAGAAGACCTGCAATAAAGCTATCGACTCAGGCACTACCTTTTGCAGAGTCTGAAATGTAGACCTGGCATTGAACTGTAAGCAGGCGTCCGAAGCGAGCAGTCTCAGAATTGGAGGCATTGGTGGCTCACGGTCGGTCTTAGTGCCCCAGAAACCAAACCCTGAAAGCCCCAGACCGTAACCATGTTCCCCAAGCCTCCAAAAGCTTGAAGCAGAGTAGACGGTTCCTGCGCAGCAAGGGCAGCAGTCGAGACCCTAAACACCTTGTGAGGCCGCGTAAAGGCCGTGCTTTCCGGTCTCGACGGCCTGCTGGCTGCCGAACGCGAGGCGGGCATCCAGCCGGGCCGACTCTTGAATGCAAGTGGGTAGTTCTCCAAGCTAGGGCCCCCCCTCTTGTAGAGGTTCCTGACAGGGTTTCTATAAGGGTAGTTTTCTTAGTGAGGGTCCCCTTTTTTTAGGGGTTCCTTAAAGGTATCTATAAGGGTTTCGGTTATATATGGGTAGTTCTCCAAATTAGGGTCCCGCATGGAAAGGATCCTAACTTGGAGAACTACCGAAGTGGCTTTGGGGAGTGTGTAAGAATTAGGGATGGTTTCTGGAAATAGGGCGCTAGTGCTAGCATGCAGAAGTGAACATCGTGCTGCATGCAAGATGGCGCTGGTATACTGAGCTCGGGTTTACGGTTCAGAAAACGCTTAGGGGTGAAAGTGTGAGAAACTGTGTCTCTTGCACGACAATGACAAGCAGCCTCATGCTTTACTGAGTGCTACTCGCAGCCCAATCTCCCACATGATGACCATGATCATTGTCGTCATCTTGATCATGGTCACCAATGTCGTGACCACCAGAATCAGACGGATGCCTACCGAGGCGTGAACCTGACAACCACATGGTCCTTTCAAAGCACGGACTCCATCGATGGCGCCTGGCCTGCATTACCAGGCCCAGCACGAACTTGGATGCTAACTCCAAGACAGATCGCAACCAAGGCAAATGCAAGAAATGCCCAGGCTACTTCGGATTCCAGGACCACTTCCAGCCGAGTCAGAAGAGCAGTGTAGGGCAACAACACTGGAATTGTTTAGTGCCGAGGGCTTAGGGCTTCCGGCGGGCACCTGTGCGTAGACATGAAAAATCCCTGCAACCTCTCTGCCTGAGCAGTCGAGGTGGTAGCTTCGACCCGGATTAAACTAGATACTCAAGGCTGCGGAGGACATTAAATGCAGCGAAAACCGCTCCGAGTTTGGAGGATTGGAACTGTGGAGCGAGTGGGCATAGACAGCCAGCTCTTTCTGCTCGGTTTCGAGAGTAGGGTTCTCCGCAGTAAAGCTGCTAGGGCTGCTTGCTCCAACTCCGGGCGAAGTGGAAAGCCTGTTGCAAAAGGGTTCGGGATATGGGTCCGAATACACCTGGACGTAGATGGATGCCTTGCTCGCAGATGTCAGTGGCAGGACATGCTGGCAGCTGTGGACGACCCGTCGATTGCGAAGTACAAACCTCGCACGCCGGCATCTCGACCTGAGGAATGTACACTTCGGCCGACGTCCAAAGTCCGCAGATCATACACAGCTGCTGCCTTTGCAAGGGATGGAACAGACACCTCTCAGGTGAAAGACCTGGCTGCCGCGTTCGACAAGAGGTGCCGCGATTTCATGGCCGAAGCTGGCGGTACAGGGACGACAGGAACGCCTTGGTGCCTGTGCTGATCTATAGCAAACAAGATGTCCCTGAGGTGGATTAACGGACTCAACGTGCAAGCGCCATGGGGAAGCTCGACTTGCAGTCAGTTGTTGGAAAGTTGCACAACGCCACGCTTCCTTCAGAGTTCTATTACATTCATGTGCAAGCACAGCTGCGCGTTTTGATGCCCCGACATGTTGGCACAAGGCTTTGTCCATGACACGATCAGCAAGAACTACGGCCCTTTTGGCAACAGGTAGCGGCGATGTGGAAGCCAACATCGCGCATGTCGCATAGTTTGGTAATTGTTTAGCGTGGATACCATCACTTGCATGCACAGGTCGCATGCAAAGACGAAAGCACCTTTTGGTGCTGCTTTTAATGGTGGCATGTAGACTGACCGACGTCCCTCAGGCACTGTGCTACGCAAATCATCCTTGCATCCTCATGCCATGCAAGCAGCTAAGAGGGTGCACCAATCATCCAGGTATCTTGGAAAGGCTGCCCCAGCATGGAGAAACCCACAGCTCTAGCCTCCTTCGGCAGGCCTTGGTTTATCGGTGGCCCAGCAGCACCGAGAAGATGGAGTACAGATGACTACAGGGTGTACGGGGTTTGGGATGACGACGTTTGTGCTGCAAGGCGGTGCGAGGGAAGTGGGACCTGAAAGCCGTCAATGAAGTTTAACATCAAGACGGCAAGACAAAGGGAGAGAGAATCATACACCACCCCAGGTCTGGATTTTGGGATTGGACATGAGGCATTTCCGGCATCAATCAAGAGTTTCGCCTTCATAGGCGATGTTTACGACCAAGCTCATTATATACAACACGACTCAAGGCTGCATTCACACCTCACTCGAGAATTCTTTGTGCACATCCTGATGGACACTGCAAACATCCGTTCGCATCCGACCATCTGCTACTGCTACACTGCTACTGCTACTACTACTACTCCTGCTGCTGCTACTACTACTACTGCTGCTGCTGCTACTACTACTACTACTACTACGACCACTACTACTGCTCCTACTGCTGCTCCTACGAGTGCTTCTACCACTACTACTTCTCCTCCTCCTCGTAACAACCCCAGGTGAGTTTGGGGCTCTGAGCCAGCCGCACTCAGCCATCCAGAGCGATATCCAGGCGCGCACGGACACAGACACAGACACAGACACAGACACAGACACAGACACAGGCACAGGCACAGACACACACACACACAGAGACACACGCGCACACACAGCCACAGACATGAGGCTCGATCCTTCCGGCACATGATCAATCTGGGCTCCGGTGCATTGTGTAGCACGAGTGTAGCAGGTCCAGCAGTGTGTTCTGCATTCTTCAGTTGCTGCACAGAAACACATTGAAAGCAAGCAACACCGAGTGGCTCAGTGGTTGGCCCAGTGGTCCAGTGATGTAGAGACACGGAAATCCATGCCCGCGAGGGTGTATGTATTTCAGATTTGCGCCTGCCCTTCCTTGAAGTGCTTTTCCCTGTCGCTGATTTGGATGCCATGCTCTTCAATGTGCCAACACCCTTGAACATGCACATCTGCAGTGAAGTTTATGGAGATGCCCAGTGGCTACGGACATGAGAGCAAGTAGATCAGTGAAAGTGCCCCGAGACATGGGAGACCCAGTCTGGCTTTTCATGGTGAGGGACAGCCTGCCGATAAATTTCGTGGGGCAGAGAGCAATCGAGTCCATCGCTTCAAAACTGGAGCACATCATGTCGATGTTCAGACCGCACCCCTTATTTCGATATGTATGTATATAACTTACATATGTATATATATATATAGAGAGAGAGAGAGATATATATATATAGATATAGAGCCGCAGGCAGCATTTTCGTGTACGGCGGCTTCGTTTCTCGTTAAGCTGGGGCTTGGGATGCTCTTGGCAGCGTGAAGCTACTGGTCTCGTGAATGAGACGCAACACCACAGCAGACTTAGGCCTAGGGTCAAGTGATGAAGTCGGCTCGAACTACATCGCATTCAGGGCTTCAGGCTTTGGGCTTGGGTCTTTAATTCCGAGTTATGGGGCAGGCCGTTGCCCCGCAGTCGAAGAAACAAACCACAAGTCCCCGCTGTTGCCACGACAGCACAGCATCCTGCGCGATGTCTTGTCCAGGACGCGAAGGGCAGCAATTGCATGTTGCGTGCTTATTCGTTGGCTGGCTGCTTCGGGGCTGGTTTTTTGCGCGTCCGAAACCCCTCAAGCCGACATCCTGAAGTCCGAGTTATATCCTGAACTCGAAGCCCCATTCCAGCCTGAACTCCGAAACCCTGAACCCCTAAGCACCCAAAGCCTCAGCCACCCAAATCCTAAAGCCCTCACTTCAGCATTTGGATTGTGTGTAGCCTTGCCTGTCTTGTGCGAGGGTGAGAGTCGAAACCCCTGAACCCTTAAGTGCCTGATCCGAAATCCTAAGTTTCGGCAGGCCATGGCTGAGCTGGCCAACTCCTCTGATCCTTTCGTCGGTGCGACCGTATTCCAGCCACCTGGCAAGCCAAATAAATTAGAACATGAGCTGAGGCTTTTGTGCTGCCTTCGGGGTATTTGTGCTTCATTGTGTGTGCACAGGTGCGCTTCATTTCGAAGTCAGAAAGGTGGCAGAAGCCGAGAGTGCTGGCATGTTCGAAACCGCTTCATCCCATGCCACTGGGTTTCTGGCTTTTCCGAGCTGCCAGATTGGATTGCCAACCTCAAGCCCCCAAACCTCACAGCTGAGCTTCACAAACTCACCTGTCTAGGCTTGAGCCTGAGAAACGGATATCCCTCCTGGCTTTGTGAGTCCTGGTTATGGCAAGCATCAGCATCGGAGCATCAAGTCGTTTGAGTTTGCCACAGTTTCCCTTACCCCACGAACCTGGTGCCAATCGCTGCCCCGAGCCATGGGGCGATTCGCAGCCGCTCTGGATCTTCTTGGCCGTGCACCCTCCAGATACTCGGGCAATTATTGCAAGCGTAGTCGGTTGCGTTTACGCCATGCAGAAGCATGGTCATGTGTGTGTGTGTGTGTGTGCTTATGGGTCCGGTTTGCAGTGTTCGGCTGTTGTTGAATTGAAGTTACGGTGTTTATGTGCCATGTTCCTCGAAACCCTGCCATGGGCTCTGCAGGTGTTTCTTCATAGTAGCCAACAGAAACACTCATCTTCTTGGAGTGGTTCCAAGCAAAGTCTTTTGCGCCCTGAACTGGCAAAGAATCAGAGACCCGCACCAGACCTTGGTCTGATACAATAACAGCTAGGCATGTTTGGGTTTAGGGTTACAAGTAAAGGCTCAGGGACTGCTGACAAGAGGGTTTGCGAGCGGCGACCTCCAGAGACTCGCAAAAAGGATTTTTTCAGGGGATGAAGAAGGACCTCCACAGATTCTATACAAGTTCCAAAAGTTACACTTCTGGGATCGGACCGGCGCCGGATGCTCGGGACAAGAATAAGGTCCGAAGGGTCCGAGAGCCGGTTCAAAAGATGACGGACCCTAAGCGAACCCTCAACAGAACTGCATTGAGTGCAGGCTTTCTGTCCGACGCAGATAGCAATGAGGGGCAGGACTGGGAGGAGCTGGAAGCCGGAGACAACAGGCCGGTGTTACTGTGACATTGCTTTGTGGTTCTCTCGAAAGGTAGCTATACTATAGCTAAAAAAAGTTGCGATTGTGGTGGTGGTGTTAGTGGTGGCAGTGGTGGTCGTGGCGTGGTAGTGGTAGTGGTAGCCGTGCAGCAGTAGCAGTAGCACTAATACGACGACTACTGTTGTTAAGCTACTGTTGTGTGGGATTGTTGTCGGTTCATGGGCTTTAATCCATCAATACTACTGGAGACATGGGCAGCGAGAGCCGTTTGATAGACTTCCTTGCAGACCCGACGCCGGGAGTTACGACTACTGGCAGAAGCGTGCTGCCACATACGACCAGGACCGTCCCTGATGGAGTGTGCATGAAGTAGGTGGGCGCACTGACCCCGGAACCCTGAACCTGGCCTCACGCTTCGAAATTGTGTAGGACATCTTTCGATCCAGCGACGAGGACCATGAGGCCTACTCACATCGCTTGCGTTGCGCAAATGGGACTGAGCTTCGAAGTGCCATATACACCAACTCCTCACCAGGGCATCATTCACGGCGAAATTGATGCAGCTGCGCGGCGCGCAGAGAAAGCTCGTGAGCTTACAAAAGGCAGGGAGTTTGTGTTGTTCTTGTACCATCGAACATCATATAACCATGTATAAAATGAGCAGACTTGTAATGTTCACAGACCTTACGAAGAGCAAGCTGAGCCGTGCCCGTGCGGCCCTTAACTGGCCACCTGCCCTTTTTGGCTGTCTGTCACCTTACTATATCTTGCACTGGGCCTGCTCGTGGTGCTTGGTGCAACAGACGTGCAAATCGACACATCGCTGTTGTGACCCACCGTGACACTTATGCTTGCAGGGGAGATGGGAAGAGAGAAATGAATGCTGTTCCAGTTTGGGACGGCAGGGCCATGAACTTTGTGCCTTCGTGACGGAGGTCACGTGGACCATGTATGCCACGAAGAAGGAGGAGCGACCTCTACTGGCAGCGAGGATTATCCGGAAGGCCCTGCAGAGTGGGCACAGCACTTTGGTTCAGCTTGTGTGCAAGCTGAACCCCGACAACCACAGGACCGAAAGCATTGTGCATAAAAGCTACTGAAGTACTTGGAGGAATCCTGGACAGGCAACCGGCAACCGTTACCGGACGCTGGACGAAGATTGAGGTACTGCCGCCGGTTGCTTCGCCGGCACCCCGAACCTTTGCCTTCCTTCCTGGTGGCCAGCATGATGTTATGCTGCGAACGATTAGCGCTTACTTCGTGAACGCGAGTTAGTCTTCGAGGGTTACGAGACCGACATCGAGGAGCTAAGCGGTTTTGCGGCATCCAGGAAGGAGAGTCAGTGTACTGATGGATGCAAGAATGGCAGTCGGGCAGTCGCAGCGGCTGGGGCTGGAGTTCAGCACAGCAGCGCCAGCCGAAGCCGACATCGACCCACATGACCAAGGGCGGCAAAGGCAAGGGACAAGGCCAAGGAGGAGGAAAGAAAGGTGCCAAGATGGTTGAACAAGACCAATTGGGCGAGCAAGGGCCAAGCAACGACCTGCGCCATCGCCTACCATGTGGAGTTCTTCACCACTCCGGTGGTCTGAGGGCGTAACTACGGCCGCGACAAGAAGCTGATGTGGCACGACCTGGCGGCATTCACTTTGTGGCGGTCATGGACCAGGCGATCTTGGAGGCCGAGGACAAGGGCTGGAAGTGTCGGTTGTTTTGGGCCCTGCTGAACGGCAAAAAGCTGACGCGGTCGAACGCAGCAGCCCTGGCATCCTCAATGGAGTCCCTCGTCATCACGGACTCACGAGGCCTATATGATGCCGCTACATCCTCCCACTCGCCTTTGTTTGGCATGAACAACGCCTGAACCTGGCTAATAGCCTGACGAAGGCCATTCACAAAGCCTTCCGAGCAGCGGTGCTTTGTAGGAGTTTTTCAGTGCACGGAACCAGCAACGTTTTCGAAAAGCCTGAACAGCACAAAGTTTCAGCCGCAACGGTCCAGTGGCCGGCTGATTTTGCCGGAGACCTCGCAGGTATGTGCACCCCTGTCGATCGCTGAAACAACAACATTCGCAGGGATGTTTTGTTGGTGCAGCAGGCGCAAATCGACATGTCGCTGTTGTGCCTTATGCTCGCAGGGGGCGGGCCCCTTTGTAGCCGAAAAGAGACGGGTTTTTGTGCGATCATGGCTTTTCAATTGGACTTGTAAGGATTTCCAAGAAAGTATTACTGTTACTATGGGCTAGGCATGCTCTTTGGGCTACATGTGATCAGAAACCCCTTTAAAATTCATGCCCCATGGAAGGAGACGATGGCTCGCATGCAGTTTCCAAGCTCGTGGCCGTGGATGCAGGGTGTGGACCTGGTAGCTCGGCCTCTTGGGGGTGTGAAGGACAATGGTTTGAGGTTTAGGGCCAGCTTGGGGTTATGATCGGTTATACTTTTGCGGCACTGACGCCAGCAAAGCTGCTCCGCAAAGCCTACCCCATAACTCATCTGTGCTGGCCAAGTCTGTAAGAAAAGCGCAACAAGTCAGTACCGACCTCCTGTTCACATGAACTGTTTCGGGCTACGTTGTGGCGAGGCATGACTGTTTGTCAAGTTTTTCAAAGCTCATGGGTATGTCACAGGCTGTAGTATGTGTTAGTAGCCATGAAAATATCATCAGGAAGCAGAGGATCGAATTTTAGGGTTTCTCGGTGTTTGCATTGAGGTCAGAAAAAGGTTGTTGTTCCATGAGGTACGACAAGTAGAACGATGCCCGAAGGCAAGGCAAAACCTGCCCACCAAAGAGCACGTCGTGGCAAATTATCAGCATGCGCGGGGATAGGGATCCTTGTTCAAAACCTGTTTAGAAGTTGTACATATCAGCCAAGGTCTGTGGCTGGATGCACTGACCAAGCGCTTTGGTCGTGTAGTGGGCGTTGATCAGTCACCCAACCTTCTTGAGAAGGCGGCAGAAGACTGAGGGTTGTTATTCAAGTAGGTTCCCAAGTAGCCGATTTGCCAAGTCGGATGAGAAACCAGTTTCCGACCGAACGGCATTTATTGTAGCTGTTCCGTGGAAAGAGCATTTTCGACGACTTTGATTCAGCATGCCGAGTAGCATCTCTGGGGCCCGATTGGCAGAAGATTAGTTGTGCCGTGCTATGGTGTTTGCGCGGCAGCTGCTGAGGTTCAGAAGAACCATTACTATTCCGATTGCACACAGATGCAATTCCACAAGCCAACCCAGCTGACATGATGACTTCAGGAACGAACTAGAAGCAAGAAAGCCGGACTCTACGATTAAGGTGCAACAAACAACATATTGTATGCCCTGTGCATGTGGTACTCGAAAAGGATTGCTCTACCCTATATTCCGAACCCGTGAACGTATAAAGCGCAGGCCAAGATGGACCATGGGCATCTCCTGCAGAGCAAGCGCGCCAAGGTGGCCCAAAACTGGTTCGCTGATATTGAGGCCTTAGGATTCACGGTCTGGACCAGCCACGTTTTCGGTTCGGGGCTCAAGGACTTGCGCCAAATAGTGTAGCTGTGATGTCGCCCGTGACCGAGCCTCCAACAAAGACCGACAGGAAGGCACACACGAGTCAATTTCTGTAAAATGGACACACCTTAAGCCTAACTTGTGTGAAGCAAATCGAAAAGCTGATGAAGGCAAAACTCTCCCAGTGTGAACAACTTTGTAAACACCTACGAAATTGCGAGGTTGAACTCCAAACGGCCGCGGACCTCGGCCAGCCCTGCAAGAGTGAGTATGCCGCTGATGGTCAGGAGAGCAATGCGTTGCGGGAGCTGGATATGTAAGTATGATTGGTATCTTATCCAGGGGATTACAGGAGGTTCGGAAGCCTTCTGCGAGGATCCATAAGGGTTTAGACAGGTTTCTTGGAAATTAGGGTAGTGCCTGCTGTAATTAAACATTCTTGCACGAAGGAGGATGCTGCTGCTACTCGGGGTTTAGACTAGGATTGCCTGAAACATCCATGCAGTTTGCCTGGAATGCTTGCTTTCTAGCACTTGAAAGTTTGCCTGGGTTCGGGCTACTGCATCTTGTAACTATGCGGTTATTTCAGACTTCAAGAACTATGTCCCACGCAACTGTGGGTTCGCCTCGCTTGGACCTCTTTTTCGCTCACCCGGCCTTCTTTCGGCATCCGACATGTCACGACATGTCTCACAGCTTCGAGGTCAGGCCGGGCATGACCATGCTCTTGGGGCTCGAAGTCTCCATCGCTGTGTCATTTGCATCCCGACAAGCAACGTTGCATCTTTGAAGGGGCAGTGCTACTATAGCAATTGGCGACTTATGAATTCGAAGCTTGTAGCGTGGGGGGGGGGGGGGGGGGNNCGGACAACTCCACAACGACAAGACGGGCAGATGGAAATGCTTTTTCCGAGGCTCTAGCGTTCCCTGTTTACAGGCTCATAGGACTCATAGGTTGGCCCGTCACCACTTGTTCCAGAAGGGTGATGTTTTCAACACAAGATGCTGGACTTGAGGGCGCAAAGAGCACCATTAAGTCAAGGCTCGAAAGCCGTAAGAACAGCAACATTGACAGAAACTTTGCTCAGCAGGCCCAACTCTTTTTAGTTGTGAGAAACGAAGATTTCGAGAACTGCTGGACTCTCGCTATTTGGGCGACAGCAGTATAGCTTCATTGGAGTTGATGCAACTAGTGCCGAGCGATCACCACCTTCGGCTTCATCCGCATCAGCATCATCACCAGTCCCGTGATGAGAACCGTCACTAGAGCCATAACCACGCGCATCAACATCTGCATGCTGCTGGCCAAACCTAACCACAACCCTCCTCAACCTCCCCGACCTTCGGGAAGGTGGTGCCACTACTATACCGCTTCTGCTGCCACAAAACTGGCAGCTGCTACTGTGCTGCTGCCACTGCCGCTACTACTACTNNCCACTACGACGACCACGACCACTACCACTATCACTACGACGACGAGGACTGCTACCAGCACGGTCTGTTCGATTACAACGATGATTCCTACTCCGACTTCGACCACGACGACCATGGCTTCAATACCGATTACTCATCTATCATCTACTGCCTCTCATTTTTCTACTCACTGCTACGGTACGTGCTACTGCTACTAACTGCTACGACTACTGCTGCTGCTGCTGCTGCTGATACTACTGCTACTCCACCGCCGCCGCCACCACCACCACCACCACAATCACCACAACCACCTCTATCACCAGCACCACTGTGACTACTCCTGTGCGTGCAGCTGCTGCTGCTGCTGCTGAAGCTATGAGGACGATAAGGCCCACCACGGCAAGCCTCGTCGTTGCTGGCAGTCCTATGTTTCTAAAGGGGTGGACACGTCTTTGACTCATGTTGCGTGGACACCGTCCGCCACGAGTGCTCCTGCCATTGTCCTCTGCCCTAAGCTGCAATGCATGGGTTGCCTTGCACACTGAAGGGGTTCGACTTGCCGCCTGAGGAAGTTGGAGCTTGACTCTGCAATTCTATGGAAAAGAGAGAGAGAGAGAGAGAGATATATATATATAGATTTACACCTACTGGGACTCGAAGCCCTTCACGCTTACGCCGCAGGCTCCCGACCCTGAACTTCTAAGTCTCGGGAAAATTGAAAGGCCCTCGCCGCCATCAGCAGTGAAATTTCAGGCTGAATTTAACCAACTGGCTCGTTTGAAGTGCAGCTGATGCTTACCTGTTCCATGGTGAGAATTTTTTCTGCTATTACTTGTAAGGACTTTTACTGCTATTAGGATGTTAGGGATACGACGGCCACGATTGAATATTACGATTCTTGCGGATATTGTGATGCTAAGTGCTCGAATTTATTAGCTTGGACGAGTATGTTTCTGTTCCTGGGTTAATCGTTGCGCTTCTACCGATGGTCATGAAGCGGAATGAATCCCACAGGACCCTCGACACTAAGTAAGGCCTTCAAGGGGAAAGCATACTACGAATGCATACCCGCGCTTAGTCATGTATTTCGCACGGCTACATTCGACACTGCCAGGGTATTCCTCAAAGATGCGGTGGAAACGCTGATCTCGGCACAGCTGGCGGTCCCAGTCAATGCGGAGTTTCTGGTTTCGGCATGGAGAGTTCGGTGTTTTTCGTTTACGATCTGCATCCGGTCCTATTCCACAAGAGAAGTGCTTAACGAAGTTCATTAGAAAAAAACGTCAAGCTGCGCCCCACACATGGCCAAATCCTTTGCCTGTACGATGCATCATCCTGAGCTTGAGGCCCTTCAAGCACCCCCCCCAAGAAGTTTGCTGTAGGGTCGAACTGGAGGGTTCATGTCTTGAGATTGCGGGTACCAGGCTTTGTTGTTGGGATCCGGCGCTCAGGGTCTCTGTTCTCTGGTGAGACCACGGTGAAGGCCCTGGAAACGCCTCGAACCGCTCACCTTCCGCCCACTGCCGATTCGACCTCCTCTTAAGTGCAGGCAAGTCGTCTGGCAGATACCAAAATGACGTCTAGCGGCTTTATTTTCCAGACCCGGCTGGAACCCTCATTAAAACTACAAGACCCCGCAGAAACCATCGGCAAGTACTCGTAGGACCCAGAACTTGAGCTAGGCTGTCAAGGGAAGACCAACATCGGCTACGCGTAGACGGTCGGTGGCGAGAGAACTGAGAGGATCGCAGTTCTAAACTGGTGGCCCCCTTGAGAGCCCAGGGCCACCCTCCGATTTTGCTGCATCTTCAGGCCAGGGAATCTCTGAGGGCCCGGAGCCCTCGGACTCGAAGCTCCGAAGCTCCCAGGACCCGAATCCAGCAACGGTAACGCCTGGTTGGCCCAAGCCCATACGGTGTGAACTGTTCTGGAGTTCGGTTCGGAGGAGCTGTCACTTGTTCTGCGAAGCGAACGGTTCGATTTGGGTGGACGGGTATGCATCGGACTTCAGCCGACTGAGAGGCACTCTGTCAAGACTTGACTACACTACACACCTTAGAACGAGATCGGAGTCCCCTAAATCTCCCTCTACATGCAGGTGGGATGCCGCGCGGAGGCATCTTCAGACCGGTCCACTGGAGTCCGCCCCCTCAGGAAACATTACCATTCACAACGGTATCGAAATGAGGTGATTACAATAGTCCTAATGGCTCGGGAGTGCGATCTCTTAGTTTTAGACAGAGGAAGGAATTGCAGGTGGAATGGGATCAAGATGTACAGCTAGGATGTACAGGGATGCGCAGGCTGAACTCTCACGGAAGTTGTTTGTTTCTGATCGAATGCTTGGGATGATGGCCCTAAGTGCTTGGCTCTTGTCGAAGAGTTGGAGACAGGGTAGCCTATAAGCACCATGTCGCCTGCACTTATTTGGGATTGCGTTCTGAAGTGAAGCAGTGAAGCCAAAGCAATGCTGCTTCCTATGCTTCTGCATGGGACCATGACGCTATAGAAGCCATGCAGCTACACGAGTCTGTGCCCGCTGATCGTTGGTGCGTGAAACGGGCAGACTTGAAGTACTTCTGGAAGGAGGTGGCTAAGGCGATTCGCACGGGACGAATTGTTTCTCCCAGCACAGCCTTTTCTGGCGAGTCGCCGCGTTCTGCTGCAGCCCATGGTCCTAGCATCTACGCAGTGCGCAGGGACTAGGGTTTTATTCAAGTGATTTCTTTTAGATTGGCATAGGGGCTCTTGAATTTTACCATTGCCACTTGACCGTTGGATTGTGGATAACCCATTATGGTGACGAACCGCAGGCAAGCACTCCCTTCACGAAGGTACTGAAAGTCCCAAGCTTTTTTAGACTACAGTGTCTGGAAGAGTCATTTTTCAAAGCGTTCATGCGCTGAGGTTTTGGCTCGGCGAGCTCGCGAAGTGCAGCAACACCTTGCAGGATGGGTCTGGTGTCGGATAGCCTCTCGTTTTCTTACCCTACAG